GTTTGGGCATTCAGGCTATTATGATGTTGGAAAATGCACCCACAATGCTCCATGTACCACAAGATTTTTTTTAATCCAACAAAACAAAACAGTTTCATTAAGTGACAATTTTTTGTTATGCAAGCGTGACATTGCAGTAAAAAGCCTTTAAAAGACACATTGACAAGAATAATTAACACCAGTTATAATAAGCCATTAAAATTAAAGTGCTGGACGCACAAGATAAGAGCTAACAGTCAATCCAAATTAATAAGATTTTGATCCTGTCCATCTGTTTTCATGCTTCTAGCAGTGTGTTTTTTTATAAGGTTTTAAGCAGTTGGATACAAATGTCTGGAGGTAAGCTGGTTTTCTGCATATGAACATGCCCACGAGTAAAATACCTATATGCCTGCAAGGGACTACAGGAAATCCTTACCTCTATTTTGCTTATGAGCTAGCTTGCACATAGGTGCAAGGGAGCAAAGAGTGTGCTCATAGATTGAGAAGGCCCTGGTATGAGAATATTTAGCATATAATTTAGGCTCAAAATATAGAACAGAAAGCCTGGCAGCACTGCAGAGAAATCAGGTCACTAGGACTACTTCTCACCGCACACAGGTGCCTGCCTGAACAAAATTAAGAACCTGTTTCAATTCATTACTGTGACAACACATATGACCTGAAATGGAAGTTAAAAAATTCAATGCTTAGACAGACATGGTCTTCTGGATCAAAATAAAGTATCTTTACAAGATACTACCCCTACACCAGAGGCCGTCACCTCACAAAAAAGACACCACTTCCTTTCATGTGAGTTCATTCTGTTTCAAACCCAGGGCAGCTTCAAACTCTTTCAGCACTGACCAACACAGGTGTGGATTTACTTGACAAATCAGTGATGCTTTCTTGCATGAAATGCTTAACATAGTTAAGCAAGATCTTGAGTCATGGCACACAGTATTGGGAAAGTACTGACTGGTAGTCTGACAGCCCTCAAAACCAAAATTTGTACATTCCACAATTAGTGGGTCCATATAAAGCAAATTCAATGAAACAGAAATAAATGCAGCAACATCTCATTAGGCCTACTTGTCTGCATGTTCTGTGACTCCTGTGAATGCAATTATCATACCAACAGCTGCCTTTGCTAAATAGCCTACAGATCTCTTCAATATTGTAAAAGATGAGAGACTTAATTTCTGGTGCCCAGACATACACCCAAATACAGTCATAATTCTGTATTTAATGAAGAACAGTGAGAACGCACAATTTTTGCAAACAGGTTCCTAATCAAATTGCTTGAGTTCCTAACACAAAAACATGCCCCGAGGCTGAAAGCATCAGATATCTATGTCATAACAACAGCCTTCAAGCATGTCTTTTCTAACAGATTTTCCTGAGCTGACGATTATTGCACTCTGGAGACCACTAGCAAGGTGGGCAACAGGGGATCCTTCCACACCAAGAAAAAACAAAATACTTACACTTAGCTTTAGCTAAACAAGCTTGTGCAAATTTGCTTTATTTCCCAAAGGGAATAAGAATTTACTCTAGTTTTTAATACAACTCTCTTTTATTAATGATTCTGAGAGATTGTTTGGGAGCAGCAGTATCCCAAAACCACATCCACAGATGAGAGGCAGATAAAGGTCAAGTAAAGCATCCCTCAGAAATGGCAAAATGGTTCATTTCTCATCAAATTCAGCACACAGCTGGAATAGAACTTTGCCAGTTCATTCCCATCTGCTTCTTGAGCAAAATACTTAGCTATTAAAACCTGAGTATGAATTTATAATCTACTATTAATGTTTATGTTACAAATTCTTATTCTGAAACAACCCAAGGCTGTAAATCACAGCTATCCAAGGTCCAAATCTCTGCTAACTGAAATATGATTTGTGTAGTATTTTAGATCTTTACATCAGAATAACAGAATGCATCCAAAAGTGATCTGTTCTCTTCCTCTAGTCTTGCTAGTGAGATCCCCAAGGAAGAGATATGAACAAAGATCTTCATTATCTGAGGAAAATTACACTCCCTGAAAGGAACAAGTAAGGTGGAAGCATTGAGCTCTGTCAGAAAATTCCACTTTAGCTGGGAAAGTATACCCTCTGTTTCTATATCATGACTCACCATAATGTGCATGTGCATTTAGGGCTAAGGAGTCAATCTTTTACCCATTATAGCCTATTTCCCATACACGCAGACAGCTCCTAAAGGGATAGAACAGAGTGGAGCCAGGATGGAAAGGAAAAAGTTTCCTCTCTGATAGGGATTTATGATTCTGTAGCTCCAGTATACTGTGATTTTACATGTTCTTTGAACTAGGGATAATGCCACATGATGACTGAACTCCTATTTCCAGTCCAAATCCAACCTGTCCAGATAAACGGCGAGGGACCTAAAACGTTAATTTCCCCAAAACACACAAGAATGAAGAAACCACTTCTGCTCTTTACCCAGTGAGCTTTCCTTGTAACAAACTACAATTAGATAAGAAAAATACCACAGCACAGAGAGAAAAAAGAAAAGAACACAAGAAAAGAGCATAAGAAAAAAATGTATCCTTTTACCTTAGCTTCAACCAGATTTTTACTGTACAGGTTCTTCTCTGCTCTCACAGTTTCACAGTGGTTTTGTTGCTGTTTTAATTTCATTGCAGACTCTTCTACCTTCTTCTCATAGTCACAGATCTGCACTTCCCGTATTTCAATATCTTTCATGTACTGGAGAACCTGGAGTGGAAAGAAGGAGGTGAACATGATTAAACCATCATCAAAAGATTATAAGGACTGGGAAGAGTTCGTAATTTTCCTCTAAGGTGAAAAGTTCAAATCCCTGTGATAAGAAGTTTTACCTACAGCTAAAAAATCACTTCTGTCCAGGTACAAGTTTAACCTTTCTGGATTGCTTAAGTGAGAGACCATTTTCTTCTCAACTAATACCTAGGTTTTGTTGAAGACTAAAACTTCAAGATGTGCACATATTTAATTTGAAAATAAGCTACTGAAAATATTAGCACTGAGTGGACTCAATAAGTCAACATAAATAGCTTTCATCAAGAATAGTCTTAGGTTATTTATAGAGCAAAGCTAGACTGTATGTTGTTTTGGATGTCAGCTGTATGATAAGATGAATTAAAACACATATGATTTTTCAAGAATCCCTGCATGTACTTTTAAATTCTAACAATCCAATCTTTTTTAATGAACACATGATGACAAACCGTTGATGATAACAATTGTTGATAAATAATTACAATAATAAGAAATTCAGTTAATGTAACTTACACTTGATGTAAATAAGCAGGTAATCACCATTACTTGCTTTTATGATTTTTACGCTTTTATAATTATTTGAAAATTACCTAAAGGGAATGGAGTACTGTAGACTGTGGAAGGATCATCACATGCAGTATCAACAAATGAAAATACAAAATTTTATAGACCTTTATTAAACAGTTACCACCATAACAATATATAAGAATTATAAATAGTTGCTAATCATTATGGGCTTCCTTGTTGTTTTTTTAAATGTAAGACCTAACATTACAAAGGAAAAAGATTAAAAGAAATTAAAAGAAAAGTAAGAAGTGCACACATCAGAAACATAATTTTTCAGATTGACTGTCTGAGGAAGAAAACTATGCCGCCCTTAAAGCTGGGAAAAAGATTAAGTATTAAAGAAAAAGCTGAGGAATCTCATGACAAAATCCAGGAGAGAAGCCCATTTACAACTGCATTTTATACGCAGTTCTCCTGACTTTTGTTTTTGAAGGCAGCAGTTTGAGTTAAGATTTATGTTCATATGTCAAAGCAGAAGAATTTTTTTTTTTAATTTACATCAAATAGTCAATAACTGCAAAGTTTGCAGTCCACAAAAGCTGTCCCTTGTTTAGCAGTAAAGCCTTGTGAGGTCTAATGACAAGGCAGGAATTTAATTAATTGATCATCCTATCAGGTACCTCCAACATACTTTGAAGACAGGGGATAGCTAAATATAGAAAATTTTATTACAGCAGCAAGAATACAATTCCAGCAGTTTTGTAGCTGACTGCAGAGGATCCTTAGAACTGCTTACAGTGCAATAGAAAAACACAGTCCTAGTTTATAACCTATTCTTGTCTTTTCCTTTTCTGTTAAAACAACCTGCCAATAGTAGCAGCAAGGAGAAGTCGTCAATAAAGTGTGTTTTCAACCTGCACCATGGTGACCACAGGCTGGAGGAAGATTTGAAAGTAGGCCACTGCATTTGTAAGTCTTATTTTGTTTTGATACAAGTGCAATAAGCTTGACAAAGTTTTCTGAGTTGTGCTTATAGACTGGATGCTGACTCTGCTTTTCAGGAATGATTAAATCCAAATAATTCTCTCTTATATCACAGAAAAGATATATGTAATATTTCCCAAGAGAGCTCTGCGGGAGGCAGAGCATCCTCCATTCTGATTCAGTTGATAGCACACTCTGTCTCTCAGATTTGGCAATGAAGGGCCAAAGCTAAGCAGAAAATCTTAGATATTCAGAGTTTTCTTCTGTATGCTGCCAGTTTTTTTATTTATACACTTAACTATTATCTATTGTTGGTTACCTGTTTAGATCAGTGAGCCTACTGAAGATCTCAGTGATGGTACTTCCCCTATTTGCTTACCTTTATGTAACCACTCTGAGAAGTGCTTCCAAGATCTTAACGATATGCCTGTTGAGAAGTAGGTCACCACTAAAATCTTTTGCTTTTGTGGATATCACCTTGCTGACTCTGTTCATCAGTTATTCAGGGGTCAATGATGATTTCGAAAAAGGAATTCTGCAGCTTTATAGATTATCTCCTGCTGCAAATAACCAGTTTTCAGAACCAGTATGGCTCTGTCTGCCTTGCAGGAGTTCCAAGAAATCTTTGGGCTTAGATGGGTTTGGCTCTTTACCAGCTCCTACACAATTCATAAGGTATGCAACAAGCTCCTTCAGAGCCAGCTTGATGGTAAAAGGTGACAGAAGAGCATTGTCTGGCCATATGAGTTCATCAGTAGCTCATTCCCCACCAATTGTGAAATAGCTCCTGTAGTTTTGCCACAGTTTCCCAAATTATCCATCTGCATAAGTCGAACTAAATATTGCCTAGTGAATATAATAATTCTGATCCTATGTCCTACTTCTGCCCTATGTTCTGCTTTGTCTTATCCTTCCAAACAATAAGTAATCTCATGCAGGGAACCTCTGCAGGGACAAAACCACTGGAACAGGCTGCCCAGAGAGGTTGTGGAGCATATACCATTCAAAAATTATTTAAAAGCCCCAGTATGCACTGACAAGAAGAAATCTTTGTAAATTGTGTAAAGAATGCTGATCTAAGTTTTCTTCCATTGGCACGTTAGGAAATTATTGTATCATCTATACACTTTTGAGAGTAAGACTGGAAAGAACCACTTGCACAAAAAGCTGTTCCTACCTTCTGTTTCAGCTCAGAGGCTTCATTGACGAAACCATCTCTCTCCTTCTCCAATTGGTAAATAATCTTCCTTTGTTTCTGAGCTTCATTCTTATAATTTTGAATTTCTTCTTCCAAGTTCCTCTTTGACTGTTCATGAAGCTTCACCAAATTTATCTGCTTCTGAGTAGCATTGGTGGCCTTGAGCAAGTTCTACAGGGAACAGAAAATAATTACTTTTGAGCTGAAAAAGCAACACTGCCATCACTATAACAAAAACATGTCATTGTCTAAACAGATTATTAACTTTCCAATGTTTTTACCCCTTATTGAATTTTTTCATTTGAAATACTTGAACCACAAATCTGATTTTAAAAAAACTCCAACAGTGCTGCTAAATAGTGCTTTTTTTATTTGAAGTTAAAACACTAGTGTCTGCTTTAAAAAAAAAATTAAAATCAATAGGCTTGTTTACTTGTCAATGACTGGAAAAGCTTTAACAGCTTTAAGGCATTCAGATTGTAATGCATTAGATTTTAAAGTAAAATAAATAATAAAGCCAAATATCTTTCCTTCTCATGTTCTAAATACCAAGCCCAAAATTAAAATCAACCAAGATTTGTTTAAAATTATGTGTAAGGATTAAACAGAAAAAACCAAATAAGCCTTTTGGTCCCACTTTTAAATTTTTTTTGTCTATAAAACAGGCATTTGTTACTTGCCAAATCTGAGCCTAAACTAGAGTCAAGATACAGAACAGTGAATCCTTACCATGTAAAGCACCTCAGAAATCATCTTTTAGCATTGAATTTGCTAGATTACACTTCAGGAATCCCCATAAACATGAGATGCTACCCTGCAGCACTAGATCCTTGGGCTGAAGGAAAACAATCAGTATGAGAAATGGACCTAAAAGCAAGGATTAGTATTAACACAGCCTGCCAAGCTGCTACAGAGTGCATCAACATCTCAGTTCGTTATTTTACTAGCAAAGACTTAGTTTGCCTAGAATAATACTAAACTTTATATGTTACACAGTGTAAAAGCACAGATGTAATGAACTCTTTGGGTATCAAATAACGGATTTGCAATAACAGCGAACACATGTAGCATCTTTTAACTCCCTGATGGTTTATATGTTAAAATTTTGAAATCTTTTCTGTGTTTATGGGTACTAATGCTATCTCAATGCATAGAAAAGAGCAGTGTAAACATCTCTTTAAGGAAATACGAATGCTCTGTTTAACATAATTTCTCCTACAACACTTCTTTGTTGCTGTGAGTGTTTAAAGTACAGACATTTCTTCCTCAAGCTGTGAGACTTATCAGTATTACCAGTGCAACCTCACCTTGTTTAGCATATCCCTTTCCCTCATAAGATCATCTGTAGCTTTTCTGTCATTCTCCATCTGCTTTTTGGCAGTCTCCAACTCTAGAGAAATAGAAGGAAAGATATTAAATCCTGGGTTCAAACTGAACAGCTGTTACAAATGCAGAAACAACTTAGTTGACTTTTAAAAAAGCCTTAACATGACATGAGCAGTTCTATTAGCTGTAACCAGGTTTTGTAACCTCAGGTATCAGCTAATGACATTAATAGTTATTTGGGTACTTAGAAGAACTTACAAGAACACAGTAATTAATGGTATAAAGACTTATTATATTTGGGTGTTCAAACCAAGATACCACACATAGGTTGCATTTTCACAAATCATGTAGCAAATCAGAGAAAATAAAATCAGAGCCTTTTAAGAAGCTTCACTGTGAATATTAGAAAGTTGAGGCACTTTCAAAAACAGGGACAATCAGAATTATTCTAATTCCTCTATGTGAAATCCAGTTCTCCTTTGAAGCACTGAAATTCTGCTGGTTTCAGTGGAGTTAAGAATACTCGCTTTGGGTCAAGATTAACACTGGACATATACTCTTAAAAATATATTGAAAATCAGAGATGTGTTTTCACTATATTTTAAAATTCATCAACACCTGCTACACTGACACTGCAACACTGGAAATGCAACTTACTGGAGTGCTAAGATGTATCAAATATTGGGAAAAGGCACGTTATCAATAAGCATGATCAGGCATTCCAGCACAGATTTGAATTTCCTGAATTCCTCTGTTCTTTCTTATACAGGGCATAACCTTAAGCAGTACTAGCAAAATGCTTGTGGGGAAGTTCTTCCACTCTCACAGAGATGCATGAAAAATAAACACAACTTTTCATAAATACAATTATATGGAATGATTCGTATCTCATACATGTGGTCTGCTCAGGACACATGCTAGAAACAAGCAAGGTCAGGAAGAGGCATTTATGCCAGTATTTCTCAACATGAAATAGATGAAGTTCATAGCAAAGGGATTTTCTTCAGTCCCCAAAAGTGAAGTTTCATCAACTCAACTATTTTGTCAACTTCATAATATTAATTTAGGGCGGGGGGGGAGCACAATATAAACCTGTTGTGGTTTTTTTTCTGAAAACCTCTTTGAAAAGGTGTCATTTTTTACTTCAAACCCTGCTTTATTTTGCAATTTATATGCATTTCAAAGTTGAAAACAATAAGAAATTGGTTTTAAATGCTAAAAAATACCCAAAAAGTTGTTTTTTCAAGTTAAACACAACATTTTATTAGACCCAAGGCATTTTCTTCCAATTTTCCATTTGGCAAAAACGTTGAAAGTTCCTTCTTAAAGTTTTCTAGATCTGCTAGCAAGTCAAAGTCAATACTTGGACAGTTTTAGTATCTGTGCTGACCATACAGAACACAACTGAGTTTATCAGCTCCCTTGCACATATTTATTTCTAGGCTGTAACTATTCAGCAGAATCAAAACAGGAAAAAAAAGTGTGTCCTGACCATGTCTGACTTTAGTAAGCTCTGAGATTGCTTCTCTCTCACAGGTCAGTGCGGAGCAATGAAGGTGTATTGGGGACAACTCTCTATATGACACAGCACAAATTGGAACACCACAAAGTTCAGTTATGTCTGTCACATTTTCACCTCACATATGCTATATTATGCAAATTATTTAATTCGACAAGGTTTTTAAAATGCTGCTGTAGATTCCAACTGTCATTTATACCATTTCATATTAGACACTAAATGAGAATGATCCTAACAGATCAGAAGATAGATTAATCCATTAGTTAGGCACCTACCTCTCTCCAGTCCAGATATTTGACTTTTTAGGGTGTTTCTCTCATGCCCTGCATCAATTTTTTGTTCCTCTGCAACATGCAGCTTATTCTGGAGAACATCTCTCAATTTGCTCAGCTTTGAAATTTCAAGGCGCATCTGAGTCACTTCATCATCTTTGGCCTGGGAAACAGCAACAAGGAAAAGGGAGAAAAAGTCTGCACAGAAAGAAAATGCCTTTGTCCTTGGTATATATTTAGTCCATGGAATTCAGGAAGCAAAGGTGTAAGTGCTGTGGGTCACCTGAGAGAAGATAATTAGCTAACTGAACAATATTAAAACTAATTTAAACAAAGCCAGCCAGGGAAAGGAAAATTATAATCAAATCATATGCTTTAGGGCTGGAGATGATCAATAAAGAATTGCCAGCTGCAAACCTCACACAACACTACCCAATTAGTCCTGCTGATTAAACATGGGCAGCTCCAATTTCCTTTGAAATATTAGGGACAGTGACTGTGATGAGAAAGATAGCTGCAGTATAGTATGATTGCATGTCCCTAATAGCAGGTATCTGCTATCCCCATCTCTTTTATAACCTATGGCTTTGAAGAAAAAGCAAAATGTAGAGTTTGTCTCATTTGCTCTACAACCAGAGGAGAAAATAATCAATCAAAACACTGCCTAAGAACTAAGCATCTGGTTACCAGGAAATGCAACCAATAACCACAAGAGAAACTTCTCTCTCTCCTTTTAAGAAGCAAATATAACTAGCTCATATAATTCAGTGCCACTGTTAGGTTTTACAGCCACCACAGACTACACCGTAGCACTTAGAGCCTCAGATACTGATTCTATACGATGGTGAGTAGTGTTATCTGAATACCCTCTGGGAGGATGTGAATCTCCCCAGTTCTTACTGACAATAATCTTAAAGAGATTTATGAATACTTCCATAGTTTGGGTTGCCCAACACCATGGTGGAGCGCTCAGCACATTGCAGGAAGAAACTGCAGGCACAGTACTACAAAAGGGGCGACTCAGATTATGACTGGAGCTCTTTGCAGCTTTAGTATTTTTTTGTTGTTTTTGTTTTGTTCTGTTTTGTTCCCAGAAGGCCATGTGCATCTCTACAAATTCCATCAACTTTTCCTGAAGTTCATAGAATCTAAATCCTGCTTTTGACACCCTCAAGCCCCAAATGTAAGTCACGTTTGAACACATTGTTTGCAAAGTTTTAAACAATGATAGTATTGCTAGAAGTAATGATAGAATGAGATAACCTGGAAGAGACAGTAATTTTTTCTCAAACAGGTAAGGAAAAAGTCTTCCAGTCTGCCTCACAAAAAAAAACAGAAAACAAGGTCCTACCATACAGCCCATTAAGGTTCCAAACCAGATTCCTGTGTTACATTTGTTACGAACCGAGCTTTTAATCTGTCAGTGGTTACTTTTCCTCACTCTAACAGTTCTCATTTAAAAAACAAAACAAACAAAAAAACCCAAACATCCCACCTCTCTGTTGGCAAACAACATTTTTAGTTTGGTGAATTTGTTATACTTGACTAAACCTTGCTAAGATAATTATTTTCAACTGAATTTTATAATGTTTAGTGTTTTAACCCCAGGGATGACACAAAATACAAGATATGGTAGACAGAGTAATAACATCTAACACTTATACATTACCCTTTATCACAAATGCTCTCAAAGTACCCTAGAACACATATATGGGAATCATTTAGTCCTTCCTCAACTGAAATTCACCTGCTTCTGAATGGTACAAAACAACTGTTAAAACAATGTAAAGTTTGGCAAGAAAACCATTTAGATCAGAAAGTAAACACCATCTTGGTTACTCATATTTAACATCCCTAGCTAGTGGGAAGAAAATGTCAGTGTGGGAAGCAAGTCCCTTCAGTAGCAGCTATCCAGAACACTGTCAGTATAAATTATTACCATTGTTCAACAGGTTTTGGCAATATTCAGATTATGTTAATCATCATAAGAAAGAAAGTCATTGCTCTTATCTGAAGGTCTAACGATAAAAAAAAAAGATCTTATGCTTGTCAAAAGTACCATAAATCCTTTATGAAGAGAGTATGCTGAGCATTTTGGGGTGCATGTGTTTTATGAAACAGCTCCTCCAGCAGGACAGGTGCTACACTGTCAGGTAACACGGCTGGAGACTGCACTATGGTACTTCCACAGAAAAAGTGGCATCCAGTGACAGTCTGATCTATTCCTAAAATCTCCTCAGATTTCCTCCAAAACTAACCACAGGGAACTACTTGTACAAGAACTGAGGTCATCCCTGTGCCAAGTGATAAGAGTGCCATCAGAGTGAAACAGCTGATAGGATGCATGCACCTGCTGGTACTTACTTTCAGTTCTGCTGTCTTCTGCTGGATGTCCCGCATCACCTCTTCAAACATCATGTTCTGCTGCTCGTTCTCTTGCATAAGCTTATTACATCTCGTCTGAAATTGCTCAAGTTCCTTACCAGTTCTCTCATTCAAGATCTGTCAGATTAAAGTACAATCCTATTAATTCTTTCTAATCTCATTACAATATCTACATATACATGAAGACAGAACCTTCCCTCTTCCCAGGAGATAAAAGCTGCTACAGAGAGTTGTCTGCTTAAAAACCACTTCACTGCTGATGAAATTACTGATGTGAAATATGATACATGTTCATATTGACTAGGGGAAATGATAATTTCTAATGAGTAACAAAGCCTGTGTCATTATTTTTTTTCTGGGAGCTTAACAGGAGTTTAACTCTTGCAGGTGGCAGATAAATATTTTACTCCTTGTAAGTTATTTGGCAAGTGTCACGTAACACAACTTACTACATATAATTACTGAAAATTAGTATTAGATTCAAATTACTTGAATCAGCAGAGGACAGGGGAGCTCTGTTTCTTAGCAAGCAAATCCTACATTAATATACTGATAACATTTCTCTGGGTACATGGTTCGCTGAGACCAGGACACAGTCACTTTCCTCTCCAGTTTGTCTTCAGTCAAAAGCCCAAAACAAGCAGTTTCATGGTTTCTATGGAGAACATTTACTTCAATAGTGAAGTTTCCAGTCTTTTTTTCTGCTTGATGAGACTTCTCCTAACAGATATTACTCCCTAAGTGAGGAAAAAACAACCATGACATTTTTCACTTCAGGCATTAATGTGTGATAAACTGAAGTTTATCTGAAAAAACAGAAGTAAATATCTGCTATGCCTAACAAACATTAAAGGAAGAGAAGCAGGATCTCCCTCTTCTCAATGGATGCAGAAGCCAAGACAATGAAAAACAAAAAATACTGCTTCTTGTGTGCAACTGTCAGGATAACACTGTGTTCCAGGTAATTCTTCTTTGAGATTTGGACATGGGTTGGATGAAGCCTAAAATCTAATTGAAAATCTTCCCACTTTCAGCTTAAAACCACTCCCCCTTGTCCGATCACTACAAGCTGTTGTAAAAAGTTCCCCCCCCCAGCTTTCCTTGGGGAGGGATTTTCCTTTTCCCCTTCAGGTACTGGAACAGAACTAATGGTCTTCTCTGTATCTCTTTATGTGAAGCATTTTACTAAGACTCTGTGTTGACAAAACAATATCACAGAACTCTACCTTCAGAAATTCGTAAAATTATAAGATAGATGCAACTCTCAAAGATGTTTCCCTTGACTGTTTTACAGTGGTGAGATTTCCCCTGCCATTTACTGAAATTACTTCCCTGAAAGTTTCTCAAAGTCAGGGGACTGAAAATGAACTGAAAACCTGAAAATTCAAACACTTGCACAACCTTGTTAGGACATTTCCAGGTAAAGTTTTTGGAAACAGAATTGGGAAAATCAATTAAAAAATTTTACTAAGACAGTTCTCTGCCCTTTCACAGAAACTCTTCTACAAGCTTGAGGGGTAAATAAAAATTATTGTAACAGAGAGGAAAAAAGGGGTCGGAGCTAAACTTACTTCATCAATGCCACTCTACTCAGCCAGTAGCAAAACTAGCAATATACATCAGAAGTCCAACCTGGCACTCTCCTGTTACTATCATTAGATCATCCATGCCCTCCACAGGCTTTGTCTCATTTGCTGTGATTATTTCAAAATTATCTCTAACAATACCATTGCAATCCACTCCTGTTCTCTGTGAGGAAATCCCTCTGAAATGGCTCAGCGAGCATTACATGTTTATTTATTACTAAGCTATATATATATATACAAAAATAAATCTTTATTTCTGTTTATTTATTTAAAATAGTCTCCCTCCCTTTCCCTTCAGGAAAATCTATTTTCTTTTATTTTGCCATCTGGCCCTAATCTTGGACCTGGTGAATATGGTGTGTCATGTACCCTACCTTCTCCTCTTTCAGATTCTGTTCCATTTTCAGTTGTTCCTCTTTGCTTGTCTGTATACACTGCTGTAAATCATTGATCTCAGCTTGCTTTTCATCCATTTCACTTAGAAGATTTTTCAGCTCCTTCTCCATTTTGTCCCTCTTTCGAGCCTCTCGTGAGGCATCATTCTGATGCATCTGGATTTCTTGCTGAAGCTATAATCATAGAGAAGACAAACATTTAAGATCTGCTGCATTTTATTCAGGGAAATAAGGCCTCTCACCTCTCCTTCTACTATGCTTGATTTTGTAAACAACAGCTTCTATACTATTGTACTCACTACTACATGGAATATGCCAGATCTTCTCAGGAGTAAATATGTTCTCCAGTGGCTGAAAAAAAATTATCCTGTATGAGGGAATCTACTTATGATAAGTATTTGTTAAGCACCAGTCAGTTCACCCCCACAAAATGGGTCTGACACACTTCAAACATCAAAACATTCCTCTGGATATGCAATGGCATGAATGTATTTCAGTTGTAAGTTACTTGTAAAGTGGTACTTTCTGAATACAGTGCTAAAACTAATTTGGGCTTGATGTTGTATTGCAAGAATTTTTATTATTTTTATATCTCACCAGCAGAAAAACACTAATAGTTTAAAAAAAAAAAAAAAGTTAAGGATTTCAGACTGGTGTCCATTTTCACAACTTCTCTCAATATTTCTGTTCAAAAAGTTCCTCTGCTGGAAGCTTGAAAGAGGAGTTTTCTCTCCTATTTAATAGACTGCCTTGTGACTTGTGCTTTCTCCCTCCCCAAAAATATGACGGAGCAGAGCAGAATCGGCAGAGAGGAGACACAGGGGGTGTATCCACATGGAAATACTCAGTTCAGCCAGGGACCTGAAAGATGTTCTTCACTTAAAATTCCTCTCTCTGAGCCCACAGATGCAAAGTTGCCAGAACTGACAGGGTCTTCAAAAAGACATTGTCATTTAAGTAGTCTGAAGTGGAGAATAATTTCATTCTGGGAGAATGGGAGGTGGTTACAAATGCTGTAACAATCCCTTAAATTGAAGGGCTGATGAATTGAGTGTCAGAAGATTAAGGCTGGCAAGTTTCAGTAAGTTTTGACAGGAGTTTCAATCCTCTCTTTTCTCCCATGCCCACAATGCTGTCAGAAAAGCAAAGATTTATATTTTCTTTTACTTCATTCCCAACCACCTGCTTTAAAAGCAGAAGACAGTTCTGTGCATAAAACCTAGAGATCATTACTTTCCTAATTTTGATCAATAATTTTGATTAATATTTTATTCCTCATTGTTTATATTATTAATAATAATATCATCGATATTATTTTATATTTTAATGTGTCAGAGTTCTGCATCCCATCTTCCATCCTTTTCTACTTTCTCTCCATTCAGTGATCCTGTCTTCTGTATCTCTAGCTGCAATACACATTTAAAAGAAGCTACACTTATTTATCAGCAAAGAACTGCCTACTCAGATCGTAAGATAAACAGAGAACCTAACTTAAAGCAGAGACAAAAACATACAGCTGAGTTGGAATATTACCTTTCTGCAGACACTGGTGAGGTGAAAAATTATTTAAGCTGAAAAACAGTAGCCAGGGATCAGTGTGAAGAAGGAAGTAGGAGGTCTCTAAGTATTAAAAAGAGAGGTTCTGGAAAAGCTTCCCATGAGAAGTAGAATAGAAAATAGCTTAATTAGCTCTTCAGTCAAAATTTGATATGTTCTTTAGAAATAATGGTATGGTATCCTACAACAACCTCTGCCAACAGCAAGGAACCTATCCAGGTCTATTTTCTAAGGTTCTTTGAAGTCGTAAGGATTTACAGCGCAGAAAAAAACCCACATCTCCAGTATGAAAGATAACTGTGATTCCAGCAAAATAACATTGGCCTCATTTAAAGTATTAGGAAGCTATGGAAGATGCTGGTATATCCCAATACACTTCGGAAAGGACATAGCCTCGAAGTAGATAAAAATATAAAAATGGTTCAGAACAGACTCCGTTCTGAGCACTCCTGAAAACACTTGAGATTCGAAAGAACAGGTAGTAGCATAGTAGTCAATGGAGAGCAATTGCAAGCATGAACAATGGTTCAGGACAAAACCTAAAATCACCACTGGTGAACTGTACAGACCTGCATAATGGATTGATCTGCCTCATTTTTTGCCCTCTCTGCATCCTGCTGCTGCTCTGTGGCTTGAGTTAGACTTTTACGTAACTTCACAACCTCTGACAACAGTTGGTCTCGCTCTTTTGTTACTTCTTCAAGTTTAAGTAAATCCTGGATACTGGAAGCAAGGAAATAATAGTCAAGCAGTGTCACAGGCCACTTCCGTACTTTCACCTATGCCACAGCAAGATCTTTTGTGAGAAACAGGAGTTTAAAAGTAATTTAATCAATTTTAAATTCAGGCTCTGCTGGTCAATTGAATTACATGCTCTAGCTTCTGTGTTCATAGTTACTGTCCGCATAGGCAGCTTTAAAAGCTAACCTAGTCCAATAAATCATGCTTTCTTGGTATATCACATCCTAATGGGTCCAGTTGATTTATGGGCTGGCCCATTACTTAGAGGGAAAATATCTGAGCACGCTAAAGGCCCTGCTCACAGACACAAGTCTTGTTTGTGCACCCTGGATACACACTGCATGGTGAGATGAGCATGCCCCATACATGTCCTGAATGTATATTATAAATAAATGCCCTACACAGTGTGAAAATTTCAAGCCAGAACCAACTGGGCCAACCATGAACAACATTGCTAGAAAGTGCACAGGTCATATGGTCAACCTACTTGAGTTTACACTTTCAGCATAAGAACAGTCTGAAGAGCTGATCCTATAACCTATAACCACTAGCTTCTGGAGGGGTCTTGAGCATCTCCTGAGTACACTGGAGCAACTAAAGGTTCCACCTGAGCCTAGGTTCCTCTATTCATAATTGTACAGTAAAAAAAAAATTAAAAAAACAAAACACATAATCTTGAAAATATATAAATATAAAATACAAACAAGAATACAGACAGTGATAATGCCTTATAACAAAGCCGGGAACAAAAGAGAAATCAAGGCTCCTGCTTCTTTGACTTATCTACTTGACCCTGCTGCCATCACTTTTAAAAATATTGACAGAATCCTATTCTCAAAGAGTATGTTGAAATGCTAATCAGATTTAAAAAATACAGATACTAAGAAAGTACATAATATTGATTTTTATTTGCTCTCAGCTTAATCCTATGCTGAATGAACTCACTCAAAGACTGATTCTGTGCCTGCTCACTGAATAAACACATAGACCAATAATTGAGTGTAAATGAGAAAAGTAAAAGGCAGAAAAGACCTCTCTTTCTGATTTCCAGTGTCTTTGCGGTATCAAAATGCCTAAACAAGGTGTAGAATCATAGAAAATCAGAAGAGGCTTTCCCTTTCCTTGGGAAAACTTACCTGAACTCCTGTCCCAGGGATTGTCCAGATCCTTGCTTCACTAAACTACTTAGGCGTACTACTTCCTCTTGCAGTGAATTAATCTTCTCCTTTGCTTTCTGTTCCTTTTCATAGACTATATCAACCATTCTCCAGGCCTTTTCCATCTCCTAGCAACAAAATGGAAGACAATTACATAAATTAAATTGGGATGAAAATTAACAACAAATAAAAATTAATTCCTTCACATTGGTTAATTAAGAAAATAGATTTTTCATGCCTTCTCAATGCTTAGATTCACAGCAGTTCTCTTCTGTTGGATAAGGGCACAGCCATTCAAGCTATGTCAATTAACACCACAAAAGCTCTAATACATTTTCTTTAACATAAAGACCTGAACATTACCAAATCTCACTCTATAAGGTTTTGGCCATGTGAGTCCCATTAATATCTAAAAATGTACTGAAAATGTGGTGGCCACAAAGGTATTATCTACCTAAATATCTCACTTATGTCTGTAAAAATCTTATTTGCTGTTATGACAAGGAAAATCTTATTTGATTTGGATGAGAAAAAGATGTTACTCTGGGATTTTCTTTCTCTATGTTCATTTTCATCTGTGAGGACCTAATGTATTTTGATATATATATATAGCTATATATTTAGACAAGCCACAATTCTCATGCCAAATTTCAGCACATAGGACTATCTGAATTATAGACTTGTGTTTTTCTCACAAACTCAGGGGTTAGTATTCACAAACAGGATAGGAGAGGAGGATTATCTTGATCTTTTTTAACTTCTTCTGCACCTCTCTCCCTTGAATCAGATCCTTAAGCATTACACAGAAAGCTTTTTCCTATCAGTTTCAAACCAAGCTTCAGCTCTGGAATCCTTTGCTAAAAAAATGTGTAAATACAGAAAGCAACTGGACTGGAAGAAAAGTTCCCAAAGACTCAGTAAATAACTAAGACACAATTGTTGATACTAGAAGTTCCTTTGCTGCAAATCACAGCATGATGTCCTCTCTCTCCTGCTCTTTCCTCAGGTGGTTCCTGGTGAAATTCTGAAGTTGATGAACATGTAGAGTTTCAGACTCCAAGTGTGTCTGTGCAGCTCTGCATGAGCTCTATGGTCTCCCCAAGCAGAGCCCAGAAGGAAGCATTATTACATCAGGCTATAATATCCCTTTCAACTCCTACTTGCATCATATGAAAGTGAGGCAGGAGTGAGGCAGGGAAAACAAATTTTAAAACATCTCCACAATAAAGTACATAAAATAATGAAATATATATCAAATTGTTTACAGGTGTTCTTCATTGAAATTAACCACTCTGGTTCTCAAATACCTATTTAACTTTAAACTCAAAATTATGACACCTATATTATGGTGTATTGTTAATTTGTTTATTGAACTATTTTAAATCAAATAAATGTAGCACTTAGCTGTGTTTACTGCCTAAATTAAAAATCCAAGCTATTGAACTAGCAGAAGTGACAGGTTACCATAATTTGTAGGAAATATAATACTAAATAGAACATCTGTAGCCTCTTCAAACTGAAGAGGGAATACATTTTCATTTTATTTATTCAACTGGTTCAGCATATCCAAATGTGAGAAACCATCTGGAACTTAAAGATCAGAAATGTTTGCTCTTCTTTCTTTTTTTCCCCAACCTATTAATAAAGAGCTAAACAGTGGGCTTTGCTTGTTCAGAAATTCTAAGGAAGAATATACATAGCAATAGTATTTTCATTATTTAATAAGTCACTTAGTTCAAAATTTCATTTGAAAAATGTGCTTTTCACTTATGTATCAAGCATATCTAAACAGTTTTAAATATCAAAGTCTATTTTTACCTTTTACACACGTTAAGCTGTAATTTCCATTCAAATGCACCAACGATCACACATGAAGTATTACCTATGGGGCCCCCAACAGAGAAAGAACATGGAGTTGTTGGAGCAAGTCCAGAGGGCCATGAAGATGATTAAAGGGCTGGAGCACCTCTGCTATGATGACAGGCTAAGAGACTTGAGGCTGTTCAACCTGGAGAAGAGAATGCTCCAGGGAGACCTTATAGCAGTCTTCCAGTATCTGAAATAGCTACAGGAAAGCTGGGGAGGGACTTTTTCAGGGCTTGTAGCTTTCAAACTGAAAGACAGTAATTTACATTAGATATTAGGAAGAAATTCTTTACTGTGAAGGTGGTGAGACATCACAACAGGCTGCCCAAATAAGTTGTGGAAGCCCCCTCCCTGGAAGTGTTCAAGGCCAGGTTAGATGGTGCTTTGAGCAACCTGGTCTAGTGTGAGGTGTCCCTGCCCATGGCAAGAGGGTTGGAACTAAATGACCTTAAAGGTCCCTTCCAACCCAAACCATTCTATGATTCCATAATCTAGTAAATAATACATTTTTTTCATTATTATCTTATATAAAATTGCTCAATTATGAAATACAAATAAATGCATACTAGGCTAAAATAATAGCATAAAGGCACAGTGTATACTATTGACTAGCAGAAAAGCATAAAATATAGCTGTTAATAAACATGTTTCAGATTTGCCAACCAGTAAGAGGCAATTAACCTTTCTCTTGAAAAACGCAAATGAAAGATTAAAGCTGATTACTTAAATCAAAGCTTCCTGATGGCTGATTAGACTGTGATTAAAATTGGTAAATCAAATAATTATGATTGGAGTTTTGGGGGATAGAACTAGTGAATAAAATCAATATGCCCTCTGAGATGTCTTACTGGCTTCATTCTGGTGAGTATATACAGAAGTGATCCCCTGAAGTCAATAAGGCCATTCAGATAAGCAGTGATTTCAGGACACCTTAAGCTGTGCTTTTTGAACTTTAACTTGCTTTTGATGTGTAAAAACAATTGGTTTTAATTTCTTAGTGATAAAATCAATTTTTATCAGTAGTTAGCGGGACAAATGACGGCCCCATTAATAAGCAAAATGTAAATAAGAATTTGCTACAGACTTCAACATCAGAAAACTGGGCTATTTGTTTCTTGGTTGTGTCTTTTACTTTGAATAGCAGATCAACAGATTGCTTCCTTCAGCTTCATAAGTAGAAAAGAAAATCTTTGAAGGTGGAAGCCTTCATTTGAAAAATATTCATATTATTACTCAGTGGAGAGGGGACCTGGAAGAATACAGCATCAGTGGGTAATTGCAGTACACGGCCAGAGAGGTAACATGCATTGCAGTAAACTGTATAATTAATTACGGAAGTACACTGGATGTTGGCAGTTAAAATAGTTTTAACAAAAACTTGGACAAGTACTGGAACTCCAGAAATTGTGAAGCAGAATTCATAAAGAATTACTGCCTTACTTCATTTTCATTAAATACCCCAGAATATCATGTCAGTTTCATTGCTCAGAAAGTGAGAATTACTCAAATGGTTTCTTAGTTTATTGGATTGATACCCTTGGAAATTGAAAACTTAAGTCATTCCAAGCAGGGCAGTACAAGCTCCTAAAAATTCCCCATCTAGCATTCTTCCAGTGCAGTCTTATGGATCAGTACCACTATCAATGAAAAAGAGAATTGTATTCCCTTGGTGTTCCGCTTGGCCTTTTGCTCCTTTGATATGGCTGTAAACAGTAAACTATTAAATCCAGTTTATTAAAACTACAAAACAGAGCACTGAGCCATCAGACAGTTAACAGCTATTGATTATTATTGATTTGGTTCCTACCAGCCACTAAGCTGTGTACTTAACCCCTGCCCCTTAGCAAATGCTACTGATTACAACCAGGTTTCACATGGAGAAAAATTTTGCTTCTGCTATTTTTATTTGTATATGAAACAACAATCTAGAAGAGTAAGGCTGTACACCTGTTACCCAGATGACCCATCAAGTCACCAAGATTTAGGGCCTTAATTTGAAGCAACTATACAATTTTTACAGGAATAGCCCCACCAGGATTCTCCTATAATTTGTAAATAATTAAACAGTGGAACAGACTGTTTAATTTGGCGCTGAATATCATGATCTTGGCTATTTTAGCACTTGAACTTTCCTCAACTCCTGCCTCATTTTTTGCTTGCTAGTAAAGTTGTAGTGAAATACTACAGCTGTAATGGAACTTCCCTTCAGAAAAGAGAATAACAATAAGTATGAAGGGTATACCAAACTGTGGGGAACGGTCCATCTTCTTCCCCCCCACATAAGACTAAACAAAAAATGCCTTTCAAGCCAGCAAAGCCAGGGTGACGCCTTTTCTCTGATTCGATCAAGGATGGAATGAGCAGGCCTCTTGCCCTACCAGATAACTGCACGGCAAGAAAGCAGCACAAGGGTTATAATAACTGGCAGAAAAACAGACAACAGGTTAAAAAATGCCTCTAACAGAATATGTACCTGGCCAATGGTGATTGACTAATTCAGACAGTGGTACTTTCTGGAACAATGATCTCTGATCTGTAAGAAGAGAGTAAGATCTGCAGGGCTCTGCTCGCGCTCTCTGCCTGCTTGGGACAAGACCTCGCTGCAGCACCTGAACCTGTCTCAACGCCACTGCTGCTGCCCGGGGAAACGGAGAGGGGGGTGCGCCGCTTGTGCCCGCTCCGCGGGGATCGTGCCCGCTCCCGGGGACCCTGCCTGCCCAGCCTGGACCGAACCGAACCGGACCAGAGAAGCCTGCCCAGCCTGCATCTGCCACAAAGCCACGGGACCAGAGCCCTGCTAGCCACAGCAGGAAGGGGTCGTCCCGGTTACTGGGACGCCGGCCCCCCTGCAGATCTCCAGCCGAGCCTACCAGCACATTTCGAGAACTGCGCCAAGGAAGGAGGGTAAATATACACACACACACACTTTAACTTTCTTACTGGGCTCAACTCCTACCCTTTCATTCCATTGATTTATACCTCTCCTTCAGAGTGTGCCTTTTATAAACCATAGTGCCTTTGAATCCTTTTTCCAATATATGTACCTAGCCAACCTCTCCTGAACCTTAATCTCTTAGTTTGTATTGACCCTTAATAAACTGATTAATTTGCAAACTAAACATTGGTCTCAGTAACAATTTGTGAGCGTGGTGGGAGGGTACTTTAGTCTACCCTCTAAGAAACGGTCCCACAGCGGCCGTTCCTCGGTAAGAGGCGAACACCACATATGAACGCTCGGGCTCATTCATAAACCTCTCCACACTGGGGGGGAAAGTCGCGGAAACATCCTGACAGCCGGTAGCCCCCCAGTACCGGCCCGCGACACAAACAAAACCCCAAAACATGACATGAACACTTTAAACAATATCCAAATAACTCCTGAACATTTAAGGGAAAGACTAATTCTCATAACCAAACTAAGAAAAGCATCAGTGCTCTTTACGTGGCCCACAGCACACCACTAGAACTGAAATGTCACATTGTGCATTGCATGTTTCTAATCTGACCATATCATCAAGCAGATATTTCACTACAAATGCACCTGGCTGGTTCTTTTGTAGCCAGAATTGTTAATTCCTCTATTGTTAAGTCATACTTTGCCTGAACTTCAAATTAGCTCCTGAAACTGGAAAGGCTCTTATTTTTCCTACTTTTCCACTCCTCACTTTTATGACATTAGCAAGACAATGTCTCCTCAGCTTGGGAACATCTAGGATTGCCTCTGCCGCTGTTCACGCTCAAGACTATTGCCATGTAATAGCAGAACGGAAATGCTCGGGATCATCGCGGTTCCTGACACCCACCTACCAGGTTTTGATTAGCAGCGGTAAAAATCAACAAGATTTTCTAATACAGTTTTCCTCCTTCTCAAGGATGCTTTGAGTAGTACCATGGGCTTGCAAGCTACAGCCACAGGATGACAGCACTGCTATTTATATTTACTCTGGGTGTATTCTCTTCCTAATTCCAAGGACAAGAAACTTAATTTCCAAGAACTTCTATTTCTGTTGTGCTCATAGATCACACTGGATTATTACATTGAATTTATTCTGCTGGAACAAAACACTTTCTTGCAAGGCAGGGAGGTTTCTCAACTAAATGCTAAATTAGAGCCTGTCTAGGTTCTACAGCCTAAGCTTTTAAGCCATCAGAAGAAAAAAAGTTCAAAATACAGTCTTCTGATCATTTGGCAGCTTTAGGTTTTTGGTAGTCAAACCTCACTGTGCAGCTAAAAAACATCAACTGTTTTTAGCAAGTCAAGCACTTTGATTTGACAGAGTTCAAATCAATAATAACAAAGAACACATCAGAGCAAATTGGTAAAGCTACACTGAAGTGCTATATAGGATGCCTTTTCTAAAACACTGTGAAACATGTATTTATATCAGTTGATGACACTTTTCTGGTCTACAATCAGTATTTCATCAAGTATGTGGATTGTTTATGTTCTGGCAATAGTTGACATGCAAGCAGCACTGCAAAAATATTAGTAAATTCAGTTGCAAAAACTGTATATAAAGTTGGAAACATGCTATTCTACAGAGGGGAAAATAAAACAAAACCAACAAACAAAAAAACAAAACAAAACAAAAATCTATTACTGATGGAGTAGGTTTAGTGCAAATATACATAGAATTTGACTGGGACTAGTAGACATAACAGACTAAAGAAACAAAGCAATAAGTAGCAAAGCAGAGGTCGAAGAGCCAGAAATGCCGGCTCTATAGTTAGTCCTTCAGCTGGTTCTCTACATAAAATAACGTGTTCTTGTAGATGCTTTTCTTATTACCATGTTTTTCCTTAACAATTTCAGATCGTATTTAATTCTATTCAAAACTTTACCGTCTTCATTGATGCTATAGTTTCCTTATCAGCTTCAGAGAGCTTTGTAAGCACAGCTACTTTAGATGAATGCAATGCAAGCTCAGCATTCAGCTCCCTGCATTTCTCCATGAGACGTTTTTCATTTTCATGAGATTTCTTCATAACAGCATGGAGCTTCTCATATTCTATTCGGAATTTTTCCAGAGTTTCATCTTCCTTAAGTAGATTGATGACTTCTTGGAAGTCTTCTTCTAGTGCTTCAAATGCACTTTCTTCCAGATGCGGTTTGTCAGACTTTTCCTAAATGAAATTAGATCAATAAGAAACAGGAGGAATTCAATATCTCACTTATGAGCCCAGAATATAAAAAAAAAAGCAATATCCTGAGTATGTAACATTTACTAAGAAATCATGAGAAAATTTTCTGAAATAACAGTTCTCTTGCTAGCATATGATACGCACATAGAAGGCTGTTTTTCAGATTTCCCCCAATTTTACTGAAATAACTTGTGCTTTAACAGTCAAGGTTCCCGTAACTGAGTACCACAACTACTTTAAAGATATCATTGTGATAGTGTTTAAATTATACATCAACTATTCAGAAAGCCCAGTATTTTTTAGCCTCAATTCTTCCCAGTTCTCTAAAGTCTGATTAGTTTATGCTTTCTATGCAGATAGTGCCATCAAATTGCTTGCAGGTAAGCATGTGTGAAAGCTCCATATGCCTATGCAAGCCAATCCTTCCCCTGCAGAAAATGCTACTGATAAATCTTTCACAAAGGATATTTTTGATCTAGCTTAGTTCTGACGCCAGATTTTGCTAGATCTGTCACTGGACACCAAATTGCACTAGTATTTTTTAAAGCAGCTTAAAATAAGCCTCCATTATAGCTTTCAACAGAACACAATCATCCCAAATGGAGGCAGTATGGCCACTTCTCAGGAGTTAGCCTGATCGGCTAAGAAGCAAGATGAAGCTGCCCACGGGATGTTTCACACTGTCACAGACACATTGGTGCCATTACTCAAGCTTGCTCAAAACTGACTGGGAAGTCTCTAAGCTGTAATCTTGTGTCTAGGTACATCCTTATAAACCCCATCTCAGAGGTGGACTAACTTGGATAGGAAAATGGCTTTCCTGTTATTGCTGGCCATGGATGTATGGCAATCCCTTGTCACAGAGCACAGACAAGGAGATGTACAGCTCCCACAGCCTTAAAAATCTGCCCTCGTATTTCCCCCTCAAACCAATGGATTACTTTTTCAAAAATGGACCCTACTCACCACTTGAAGCCAAACAGTTTAAAGGCAAGAATTTTCAAAATTCTAAAAAAAAAAATATTTCTGAAAACAAAACTACACATTTCATTTGGTTTTCTTTGGGGTTTTTTGTTGTGTTTTTGTGGGGGTTTTTTTTGACAGGGGAGTACACAAGTTCATGCTACCTGGAAAACCTGAAATTAAACAGGTAGAAACGGACCCTCCCCCAACTCGAAAGAAACATCAGGCCGCAGGACACACCGAGGCAGAGGCACCAACTCCAAATCCCCCATCCTTGCCAAGCCTCTGACTCGAGAGGCTTTTTCCATCAGTGGGAAAGCAGCAAAGGCAACCTGAACACTGACACCAGCGCTGTGGAGGGGCAGTCTGTGGGGCACGGACCAAGTGTGGCACCTCAACCCCTCCAAGCCTGCTCTGGCACTCGCAGCAACAAATGTGGGTCTCTTCTTATTTCCTCCTCTCTCATGTCAAACCTTCAGGTTTTATCTCCTTCACACGAGTGATCATAAGCAGCGTTAAAATAAGAGCAATAACGGCATCTGGGAAGAGGTGGGGAGGGCGGGTATCACACCCCCGATCTTCAAAGCAGCAGGTGTTCCTAAAATGTCAGCGTTACTACTGCCTGCGTGCTCCTACTTCCCTGCGTTACTCCTGCTTTCAACGCCAGGATCTAACGGAGCTCTGCCCACAAAAGCAAATCGACACACGAACGTGGCCTATAGATCTCCGTGACATTGCCAAAAATGCCTTTGGGCTTCTCCTGAGGCGCAGCGCTCGCCGGGCCCAAGCAGCAGGGCGAGGAGGGGGCTCACCTCAGCCATGCTGCCGG